CACACACACACACACACACACACACACACACACACACACACACACACTTGGCTACAGACAGAGCTACTGTTGGGGTTGAAGTCTCTTATGAGAGACCCCCAGAATACCTTACTGTTTTTCCACCATGGGAAATGAATCCCAGAGCCTTGCTAGACCACTCAAGCAAAAATAGTCTATACATGATCTCTTCCGTTAATTACTCCATCACTGTTTCGCCTCTTCAAAGGAAGAAGAAATCAGATGCAGGTTTCACATTGTGCCGTTTGCAGAAAACTGGAAAATCTCAAATGGTGGAAAACAGAAAAGATGGAAGCCTGTTTGATGAGTGATATTTTCCATTGTTCTTTTCACAGCCATTGACATTAAATGGCTACGCAGTTTGAGTTCTTATGCACAGAAACTACCCCAAAGCCCCACTCTCAGTTCCATGATTTAAGTCCTTCTACTCCCATTTAGAAAAAAATCTTTGCTTATCAGACATTTGATTTAGAAAAACAATTCAACCCAGGCTACAGTAACTACATTCACATGTCACTCAAAATAATCATTTGTTCTGAATTGATGCAAACCAATATTAGTCTTCATTCATTTAATATTGGTAAACCCTGCATTTGGCTTCAAAAAAAATGAAGAAAAGTTAATCATCGGATGCTTATAATTTCATATGCCTAGAAATTTGATATTAATTAAAATTTAATATTAACAATATTAATGTTGGGTGATTTAAATAAAAATAATAATTAAATTTTATTAGAGAAGCTGGTGAGACATAGTCTTATAACTGATGTCCCTATTACAGCATACAGAAGCTCTTGCCTTATAATCATGTAGAGTTTGTACCTGAGTTTCAGTGCCCAGTTATATAGAATTACATCTATAATTGCCTCTCTATAGATCACATTCAAAATGCACTTCATTCAACAGATTCCTGCCTCCGTATTTCACAATTGCCTTGCCAGAGCCTCCTCATTGGGCTTGTGAACATGCAAAGCACGTGACAAGATGACCTGTGCTGGTAGAATATCACCATTCACAATTTTCCCATTCTGCCCTTAGTTTCTGGTCTTTCGAGGTTCTGTACAAAGCGTCTGATCATCCAAAGGATAATAAATGGCATCTTCCACTGGGGTGTGTAATACATAGAGTGGGAATTGATTTGTTGGTTATGAAGGAAGCCATGGAGCACACAGATCACTGGAAAATCACATTGAGGCCATCAGCCCCTCCTCAGTTCATGCTGACAGTACTTCCATTGCTCAGGGGTGAGTGCCAGAGGGAAAAGGGACTAGGGAGGCCATCCAGTCTTCAGCTATTAAATGAAACCTATTTCTCTGAACTTCAGCCACATTTCATATGACACCCATATATTCCCCTTGCATGCCCAATGTTTATAGAGACCTGATATCAAACAAGATTTCTACAATCCATCAGTGTGATAATAATAATACAATAAAAAAGGCCAAGATTGCTTTGGAGAGAAAAAGTATGAAATGCATTCTTAAATGCTGCTCTGTAGTGTACATAAATCCTACAGAATCCATGTGCTATAAAGACTCATCAGCTGGCCTTGATAACCTTTTTTTTTTTAAATCAGTACCAATAGATGGCACTAAAATGTCCACAGTCATTTCTGGCAAAACTAAATATAATCCACATGTAACATTTAAAAAATATTAATGATTGCATATCAATACTCATTTTGTTGGGTCATCTTTAAGTTTTCACTATTGTCTACTCATCATGAGGATTTTCTTTTATTTGTGTGTATATGTCTCTGTGTGTTTGTGTGTGAGTGTGGGGGGATGTGGTGTCACAGGACAATCCCGGGTGTCAGTTCTCACCTTCCACCTTGTCTGGGACTGGGTCTCTTGTTTTTCACCACTGTGTATACCAGTCTGTCTGGCCTGTGAGCTCCCAGGTTCCCCCTTCTCCATCTTCCATCTCATCCCAGACACTCTGAGATAACAAACGCATGCTACTGAACCTGGCTTTATATGGATTCTGGGGAGCCAAACTTGGTCTCTCACACTTAGGAGGCAATCTCTTTATCAGCTGAGCTCTTTCCCCAGTTCCACTGTCATGTCTTTTTTTTTCTTTTAATCAAACATGCTCAATGTTTCTGAGGCATATTATTCAGTATTCCAAGGAGCCATTAAAATGAAGATATCAAAAAATGTTAAGTTAAAATAAATAAAATGAAGACATAAAGGAACCTGCAGAGGTCATATCTAAGTCTCTCTAGTGACCACAGAAAGAGAACTAAAGCCCAAGTCGGTTACATGATTTGCTCAAGGTAACATGGCTGGTAACCAGGAATGTTCTCTGTGTGCTCCTGTCTTTCCACCAGGACTTTTCCCCATCATCTATTGAATGAGTCTCTCAAGAGACACCAGGAGACTCACAGCACCTTGCCATAAAACCAGAAAGAAGTGTTCTTCCTTTGTAGAATTACAGTCATTCCTAGATGATGACTGAATGTGTATGGAATGGCTATAATAGTATTTTAGGAATATTAATACCACTTAAAATATCAATTGCCTCAACCCCTGAAATCTGTGATTATGTAAAATTATATGGCAGTCATGACTTAAGCAGCAGAAGAAATTTTGGCTACAGGTTAAAATAAGACTATCCTAAATTATTTGGGATGAGCCCAAGATAATTACAAGTGTCTTCAAAGATTGGAAAATGACACCTAAGGAGACAGAAAGAGAGAGAACAGAGGGACAGCCAGAAAGAGGAAAACATGTAAAATCTTAGTCTGAATTTGTAGCCTGTGAAGACGAAAATATAAAGATAAATTGTAGAATGGAAAAGGAGCAAGGAAACATTGTCCCTTGGCACCTCTAGAAAAAAATCAGCCCTTTTCACACCTTAATCTCCACCAGAAGCATATTTCAGACCTCTGACCTCCAGA